AAATTTATAAGTATTCATTTGTTAAGAAAATTACAACATTGTTTATTATTTCTAAGGAAGAAACACTATCATCTAACCTGACATCTATTAAATACAGCAATACATAAATTATATACTGTCAAATTAGAACATTTTAAGGAAAATATAGTTCACAACCATTATTTAAATGATGGAACAGATGCAAAATAGATTAATAATTACAATAGAATTCTACAGCTGATTTTGTTAAATATGGATTTGCACTAGTCTTGAGCCTACACTATAACATGTACATGAACTTTAAAAAAGTTAAAATATGAATCTAAATTTGAATTTGCACAGAGACTCATGAAAACCATGGAATTCAATGGAAGCAAATCTCCAACAACACTTGAGACTCTATCTTCCTTCAACAGTCTCTAAAACAACCTCAACATCATCCTCCTAACCTCCTTATGAAAGTATGGTTCCCAATTTCCTCTTCCTCCGCCTATATCCCCATCTCTAGCTTTACGCACATTTACGGCTTGATCCACCTTCATTGTCATTTTGCTCCTTGCAATTTATACCATTCATTGCATAAATTATATCACAAGCTTGCAGATGTCACAAGACTTGCAATTCCCAAACAGAATTGTCAATTTTCTCCATCACCTGTTAAAGGTATCCAACCATCTCAAGAGACTTAACAGCTTTCTTTGTAGGATTGTTGGTTTGTAGTTTTGGTTGAGATCGAGATCTTGGATGTGCGGCTAAACAAGATTATGAGAATACTCTTGATTAAAAATCTTATTATTGCAAGTAAATCATGACTTGCAATTCTTTTGTTATCAATATCTATCTATATTGGACTACATTTTTCTGTTTTCTTTAGGGCTAAATAGGTGGTTTCATTAATAGGTTTTATGACTATAAATAAGAGTCATAATATTCTATAAAACTCATTGACTTATTCTGAAAACAAAAAAGTATGGTTGAATGTATTATTCCATCAACATATGAAAATCAAATCCTATCAATTGAGAGACTTGGAAAAATATTGGGAAAGATTTCTCTATATAATTCTAATATTCTGGAGATATCCTTTCTTCCATTTTATTTCTTGTCATTAGAATTCATTATTGGTTTTCATTATTGCTTTGCGTGTATAATTAAGTTTGATTTAATCGCTATTCTATGAATTCATAATTTACATCGATGGTTTATCATGATTTAATTTTCTAAACATTTCCTCTGCTAGAAAACAATTGACTTTTTATTTGCATTGATTTTCTTCATATTTTTCATTTTCATATTAAAATAATTAATAAATGTTAGAATTATGATATTTTGATCTATGAATTGTGTATTTGTATGAATTTCTACATTTCATAGAAGATCTACATAAGAAATTTGAAACCGTAAGTCATCTTGCATCCATCTCCTTGCATAAGAGTAGCACTTGTCAATTAATGATTTCTTTCTCTTCCCTCCTAGTTTTGCTCTCTTTCTAAGGACAGGTCAATGCACACAATCGAACCTCTACATTTGCGAAAAGGGTATTTCCACGACTCAATCGTAGAACCGCTAGATTAAATTAATGGCATTTTATGAATTTTTCAAACCCGCTATGCTAATGGATTTGAAGGACAATAGAGATCATGATAGCTAAGTTGAAAATGAAAAGGTTGTTTGGTTGAGTGAATTTGTGGTGTATTGTAACTCTTTTGCAAGGATTTGAGAAAATTATGTATTTGACATGATAAACTGCAAATACAATGTAAAGTTTGAATGAATTTGAAGTTTACAATGTAGTTCATTTTGATTGAATTTAGAATTCGGCCGATTTGGCTGAATCTGAATTACATCATTCATGTAAGATACAATACGCCAGCGGCCACACTCTGTCATTGTCGGTCGTTCGTCGTCGACCACCATTCGCCACCGGCCACCTGCCGTCGTCAGCCGCCAGCTGTCGCCTGGTGCATGCGATTGCGGTCCGATGCCAGCCATTGCTAGCCTGTCGACTGCCCGCTGCCACAACCGATTGCCCGGCATCGTCGCTCATCCCTGCCAGCAAGCCAGCCAGCTGTCGCACCCAGTTTCCTGCCATCGTCGCTCGTCGCCGCCAACCCCTATTGACCGCCGCCAGTTGCCTGCCTCTACTGCCACCGCCCGTCTCATGCCCCTATTGTCACCACCCGCTGCCACCGCCAGTCGTCGTTGCCAATAGTTCGCTGCCGCCCGCCATAGCTCGCCCTCCGTAGCCGTCGAACAATAAATATTTTTTAAATACATTATCTTCAATCTTCTTCAGATCAAATTAAAAAAAAATACAAAATTGTGTTTATTTTACAGTGAATCAACTTGAAATATTTCTAATACATTATAATCATAGTACTCTGCAAATCTTTTACATTGTATTTTATCTTTAGCAAACCAAAAGGCCCCAAAGAAATGAAAATGAAAAAGTATGTATGAGCAAGCAAGGATATATTTAAGCATAAATTATTAAGAAATAAATCTTTGTAGGTTAGGCACATGCAATGGAGAGTAGATGATAAACAGATAGGATGAATAAAAATATAATATAGAATCGTTAAAAAGGAAAAGCGTTAGAATAAATGATATAAAAATAGTTATGTGAAAAAAAAATTGAGAAAAGGGAAGAATTGATCCTCCGCAATTTTTTAGGGGCTAATTAATCCCAAACCATGAAAATGCTCATTTTAGCCTCAAACTCATTAAACAATGAACAAAATACTCATACCAGCCAAATTAATGAAAATTGTAGTTAGCGGTATTTAAAATTATTGTATTTTAAACAAATTATTTTCTTCTTGAATTTTTAATCAATTTAAATTTCTTCTTTTTATTTTGTCTTAATCTGGAATATTAAGCAAATGAGCTAATATTATACAATTATTTTAAGCTCAAATTTGAAATAAGCTAAGCACAAACTATAGATGTATATTCAAATAAATCAATTAGTAGATAAGAAGAATAATTATAGTTTTTTTACTTGAATTCTAACGTGCCAAACATGAACACGATTTTCAAAAACAATTATGAACAAACTAAAAAATTGAACCAACCAAACCTACAAACATGCAACAAGCTCACTCAAATGTGGCTCGTTTTAACCGCTAATTACATGTGACGTTAAAAAAAAATTTATGGCTACAGATTTGATAGCTCTAGCTAACAATGATACAGATATGAATTAAATCTAAGATGAGTTAAAAAGCCTCCAAATACTAAGAAAAACACTAAGAAAAAAGCTACAGAGTGTTGAAATTATGCATGTGATAATCAAATGGAGACTAAATATATTTGTCAACTGTCATAAAACTCAGTTTGCAAAAAGGATATTTGTCAACAACTTTATTATGAAAAATATTTCATAGCATATGCTTTCAGGAAATCACTTCATATATATTATTATTCATAGAGTAAAATGATTCTGATAGTAATTTATTCAGATACATTTGAGAAAACGCTAGTTTCTAATGTATCAATGACCCAGAAAAAATCATCCTGAATGAAATTAGGAAACCTAATAATAAAGAACAACTATTAAACATCCTGCAAGATGAAGTCTGTCTCTAAATATACACGAGGATTTGAAATTAGAAAATTTTAAACTTTGTAATGGTAAATAAGAACCTTCAGTAGAAAATATCTGAAGAAATCTGTAATGTTTTCTAGGATAGAAAAGTTCACGCAATTGTTCTACCTAATAAAAAATTTTTAATAAATGAAATATCCTAAACAAGATCAAATCCTATCAAATGAACAAGGACTATCATAAATTATGCAAAAAATAGATAATTATCTCTTAGATGAAAAAAAATGAGTCTACTGTATATGGAGTTGCATTGCATCTATGTAAATAACGCAGTAGAAAATGATTGGGGTAAACCATGCAGTTGATTATAATCCCTTTAATAATAGGATTTTCAATTCTTGATAAAAGGGATACGCTCAATAGAATATACAAAGCTATTACCTTCTAAAAATTTGATTTTGAAATTTACTTGCGAATTCAATTTAAGAAAAAACATATAGCACTGTTTTTGCTGCCCCATCTGGACATTATAAGTGGAAATTAATATAGTTCAAACTAAAGAATTCACCAAGCGAATTTCATGATATAATGAATGAAATATTCATTCCATATTCAGAGTTTTAATAACACTTGATCCTCATGATGTGATAATCATTTAAGATACTATAGATTGACACTTCAACATATTTAAATTTTTAAACCAAGGGTCATGAAAAATGGTTTGAAAGTTTTTAGTTTCCAAGATGAAACTACTTCAAATAGATGTAGGACTTTGAAGCTATAATATGAGCAACGAATGAATCGTTCTTATTAGTAGAAGCGTTAAGTTTGCAGAAATTTTCATAAGAAATATTTAACGTTAAACAATCTTATATAGTTTATTGAAATTCATTTATGTCTGATAGCTTCAGTTTATATAGGGAAACAATAGAGTGTGGGCCATAGAAATATCTGTTTATCTTATGTATGCTTTCTCCTATAGTTTTCAGTAAGCCCGGCATTTCTCTGTCATCCACAAAGTCTGGGAGGTTAACTTTTATATTTAATAAACCATATTAGCATGCAAGGCAGCCACGCAGAAAGCATGGCTTTGGTTCATCATACAAATAAGCATCCAAACAAATCAAGAAATGGACTCAAATATAGAAACTCAATTATTTCTCAAGCAATTTCATTAACGACGGAATTAATTGCTTCTTAAAAATGTATGAAAAATGTTGGTAATTTGAACAAAATAAAAGTGAAGCATTAAGTTCAAATCTCATTGTATTTTACTCATTGAGATAAAAAGGCGGAAGTGTTCTGTGCAAGTATAAATGGGTTTTTAGGCAAAATAATTAAATTGTATAGGCATGGCACACTTGTTTTCTTTCCAACAGAAAGAAGCAAAAAGAAGAGAGATGACGAACTAATAAGCTTCAAGATCAAGTAGTTCTACTGTGAATACTTTTCAAAGATAATGACAACAAAAAACCTGAAATTGAGGATAATCTGGGGCGCTGAAAAGGGTAATCAGTTTTCCTGAATCAACCTCATGATCAATTGCGTATCCATCTTGAATTCCCTTCATATCATGCCTTTTATCTCTTGCATCGGGTCCTTCATGTGACCTAATAATCAACTGCTTCAAATGGCAAAAATTCCAGGACTGAAATGCTACTTTGTTGTAAAAATGCATTTCAATATAAAATGAAACATAAATCAGCAAGCTCACATAACTTACATCAGTTATTTTACCTAGAATGAAATTGCATCTCTCTCCCGTAAGAAAGATTTAGTTAAAACATAATTCAATAACATAATAAAACCATTAAAATACTTCCAAAGTAGAAACACATTTAAAACGGGCTAGATAGCTCATGGAGGTCAACAAAATTTTTAGTCCTTTTTCCAAGTGGATGGTGTGTTGGCTAAATTACTTGAAATAAACAACCATGGATTTACTTTAAGGTTTACAAGCTGGAAAAATTATTCGTTCTTAATATTCATCTCCCATTTCTAATAACCATCCAATTTAGCAGTTTCAAAGATTCTAAAATTTTGATTTTTTTTTAAATAAATCATGTTGAAGTTCTGCTTTAGTAATCTTCATGAAGTGTCCATCATTATAGCTTGAGATCAAATAAAGAAGAGAGAGGACTCATTTCAGTCAATATATTGAGTAAGTCTAAGACTTCAGTGCTCCCCAATAACCACAGCACGACATACAAAAAGGAAACAAACAATCTTTGGAAAAGAATAAGCTGTCAAATCAACCATCTTCAAAAAAGCCTTGCATTAACATTTGCCAAGATTGATTTATATGTTATCTTTGATTTAACATGTATGAAGCCCCACTAGAATTAAGATGAAGAAACCTTGAAGGAAAAATAGATAAATATGGCATAAAGTTGAAATGAACCACGAAAAAAATATTAATCAATCTAGCCTGAATGTGGGGAAAAAACCACCTGACATATTAATGATAAGTTTTGCCAGTACAATCATAAACCTATTCAGCATGGAAAATATTCATAGAATCAACAACAAACATATAACATCTTTACATTGGTTTCGTGATTATATAATAAGATTTAGCCCAAATAAAGCTTTTCAAAAATAGGTGGAAAGAAATAGATTTCAACATACCTTTAATTGGTATTTTGAAAGGAAATACTCCGAACAATCCGGTCCCCATAATAAACCAATGCCACGCTCTTTATTTGGAGATAAACCCATGCTAGAAGAGGGATCCGACCATAGTACATCTCCAGGTATAAGATTCAAACCTTCCAATGGAGGGTCAAGAACAGTTCGTCGTGCCCTAGAAAGCTCCTCTAATGATCCAAGCTTTAATGAAGCCCTTCCTGTGGGGCTTCTCAACTTTCGACCCTTTTTTCCTTTTAACCTCTTGGATGGAATAACAGCCACAGTGCGGAAAAGTCCTCCATGAGCAGTATATACACAACTTGCTATAATGGTAGCCAAGGGAAGACCTTCGAAGCACCTTAAACATTTCCTATACACCTGCTGCCCTAAGTTTCCAAACTTAGTTATCACCTCTTTCTCAAATCCATACATTGAAGTGCAATACTTGGACTCATGATTGCCACGAAGAAGAAACACTCGATTTGGCAAGTATACCTGCCAGTCATTAAGAAAATATTCTAATGAAATGAAAAGAAATAATCTTCTTTTTAAACTTATCAAAACAACATCTGATACATTCGAAAACATGAGGACTTTTTAAGAGGATAGAAACAGGTAGAAAATTCAAATAAGCTAAATGGTAGTGATTATGGAGAGTATTAAGATGATGAGAATCCTAAGGAAAATACCAAATAATTACAGTATCACAATGTATGTGTCAAATAAATTGCAACAAACCACATCAATTTAATAGGCCGATAATCAGTGGACATGAGAATCCCTCATAAACTAAATTTGATATCAATCAGCAAGAAAATTTAAGATTTTAGAATTAAAGTAGGAAATGTACCAATATGCTCTCGTGGCTTTGCTTGGTTAGACTAATAAAACAAGCTCATAAAAGCTCAATAATATGATCATTTAAAACTTAAATATAATTTTCTTAATATTTTATTATGCGGGAGTCTTTTTTTTTTCTATATTAGATTAATTTTGTTCATGAGCACAATTCACCTATTTATGCTCGTTAAAATATGTGTTTATTTAACAACTCATTCAAATAAAGTCTCATTTTTAAGCTCAAAGCTTATTCTGATAGCTAACAAATTGTTTGATAATGCTGATCATTAATACACTCGATAAGACATTTTGATTAACTAATGACCAAGCTTAAACATCCATAATTTTAAATAAACCAAGCTTAAACAATACTACAAATACGTGAATCGAGCTCAAAGCTTGAGCTCGATTTTGGCAAACTCGACTCCATTCATTTGCAGCCCAAATTGAATCCTTGAAAAGTTGCTTGACATATTCTCCCAGGATGACTTTTATTATATGAAATTTGTCATCATGCAGGATAAAAGGAAGTTGAATCAGAAGAATTTGAAAAACCAATAAATCTATTAATAAATAACACACTTAACTTGTAGTCCAGCTTTAGATGGAAGTATATCAAATGGACCCTACAGGTATCTAACATTGATGTATAGACTAGTGCATTTTTTATATATGACAACCATGAATTATGTGAGCATTAGTATTTTTTAGTGTCATTAACGTTGTATTAATTTTTTAATTCATTAATCTAATCTTATCTTTATTTTAATTATCATGAGCAAAAACGTTAGTTGTCATTTGAGAATAATTTTAGATATTTGGTTAAGATTTTTTTATTAATAGTACAAATTGAAGTGATGTGAAATGAAGATTATAATTAAAGGAATAAAAATTATGTTTAGCATACTTCTACTTCCAATTAGGTTGTGTGATTGATTCTTCCTATGTCAATTTTTCTTTTCTCATCTTCTCCCTTCCTCCGTTCACAACTTCATCAAGACCTCGCTCTTGTTGTAACTCTACTTAATGAATATCAAAGACTAGATCAACCATAAAAATCATCATTCTCTATATAAAAAGACGATAATCTATATTATCATGGAAATCAATTTCAAGTAATACATGATATCTCGATAATATGTGTTTTTTTCCACTGAACCTACCCAATGTTCATTTTGGGGATTTCGCTATAATTTTCATTTTTCCTAAGTTCCATTATTAAAAGAAAGTTCTCATTAGATTTATATACGAGTGATTAGCACTATGAATTTATTTGTGAAACTCAAATATTGTTATCACAGTGAAATCTGCAATTATAAAATTAAGATACAAGATAAACATCAATTGGGTAAATCTGTATTAAATTATTATTGTATTTTATATTTTTATCTTTTTTCTATTGTGTTTACCCTTGATTATTTGAATTAGATCTCATCAACTCCAGCAACACAACCATAAAACCAAAATCAAAACCTAACACCTCTAAACCCTAAACTATAAACAATAAACCTAAAAAAACAAAATTCAAGAAACATTAATCGAGTTACTCATCCTAACTCTCATTTTCACAATTTTCACAATTACTCGAAACCCTCAGCTTATGCCCCCTTCTCTAATAATCTGTATAAAATTCTGTTAAAATAAGGTTTGTTTAAATTTTACTCTTGAAACTAAACTCAAATGAATTTTAAGCCCGCATGTTATTCTTAAAGTATGGAAATCCTTCCTTCGCTAAGCTTTGCCTCCCTTATATATTCTTGAGAAAAATCATCACTAGCACAATCCAACAACCTTTACAAACCAAATCATCAAACCCCTCCTCTCTCTCTCAATAAATAACCCCCTATCTCTATCCACAAATAAAATCTGGAAGCCCTCCTCCACTAGAGACCTCTCTCTCCTCTCACTCTCTCTCTCTCTTGTATTACCTCTCAACAATCCCCCTTCTCTAATAATTTGTATAAAATTCTCTTAAAATAAAAGTTTTTTTAAATGCTTTTTAAGCCCGCATTTTATTCTTAAAGTATGGAAAATCCTTCCTTCACTAAGTTGTGCCTCCCTTTTATATTTTTGAGAAAAATCATCACTGTCACAATCCAACATCCTCTACAAATTGAATCATCAATCCCCCCTCACTCTCTCTCAATAAATAACCCCCTCTCTCCATCAATAAATAAAAATCTAGAAGCCCTCCTCCACTAGAGACCTCATTCTTTCCTCCCTCCCTCTCTCTCTCTCACACACTCTCTCTCTCTCTCTCATGTATTACCTCTTAATAAAAGTTCCTTCTTTGGCAATAAAAAAATGAAATACAAACTAATGAAAAGGGAACAAAATAAAATGATACATGAACAATTTTTGTGCTTGAGAGGGGAGATGAAAAAAGAATACACAACAGTTAAAGAGACAGAGAGAAATCACATCCCAAGAAGAGAGGAGGAAGATGAGAAAAACATCAAATCATCATGCTTTCAATTCAATATTTTCAACAAATTCATTTAGTCCGACTGCACCATTTTTAAAAAAGACGTCGTCAATACATACGAAAAATATTTAAGGCTATCATGAAATGATATGAGGTCTACTTAATCCATATTTTGAAACGTAAAACATATTTAAAAATTATTTTGGCATGGATACTTGGCAATGACTTACAAAGAGAAGAATCAAAAGTTGTGATGGTCCTACATTACTCAACTAGAACAAAAGGGCTCGTCTTCAAAGAGTTGAAATGAAAGTGGAATTGGAGCATTGTACCGGTAACAAATAATGCAAATGGAACATGGCCAAATGATCTTATAATGATTTCATAACTTGAGTACATGTACATAAAAACTTAGGAAATGGTACAAAACCCTAGGAAATGCAAGAGAGATAAAGGGTCTGTATCCCACAAGGAAAAATAAGAGAGGAGGCTTCAAGTCACCATACTTTTCAGCCAAAATTTTTCAAAGCCATGCAATCCTAAGGCACCCTTTTTATAGGAAAAAAGACCATTAATACATGACAAAAATGCTTAAGGCTAATAAGGCAAGATATAATGTATCTTATGTATTTAATAAAAATAAATGGTTAACGAAACTACATTGGCACATGGCAATGATTATCTTGGAGAATAACCAACAATTGTAACAATAATGCACTATTTACCATAAGAAAAAACCCTATCCATTAAAAGCAAAAACATAAATCCACATGAGTCAAAGAACATGAGTCACACATACACACACAATGATTAGATGGCACTTCTCCATTTACTGATTTTTTCAAATTCAGAAAAAATTGCCAACATTTCATGAAATTTGAGTTAGGTATTATAAAATAAAGATCACATTTTCAGAGATATTTAATTAGTTATGGAGTATCCACAACCAAAATCTCCTATAAATGAGCTATAAATAGTAATTTTATCATTTTCATCTATATGCAAGAAAGTGGCCTCTTTGTCTTTAAGATGCGTTCACAATGATATAGATTTCATTTCCTTTGCACTAGTAATAATAATATACCTTGTCGTTATTTCTCTAGCAACATTCATACTCTTAAAAGTGGAGTTCTTTGCTCCCCTAAAGATTTGATATAGGATAAATATGAAGTGTTGTGTCTTGGTATTTTTAGTATCATTATCGCTACATTTTTTTTCTTACTCTATATGTAATATTTAATTGCAACATTTCAATTATCATAATCATTAATTTTAATTTATAATGAATTTAAATATTTATTCTTAACTTCATCATGTATAATCTTTTATTAATAAAGAGATCCAAAGGGGTCATGTAGTGTAGCTAATATTTATTAAACAGAATTGAGCACATGAAAATGATTAGCATGGAAAAGTATCGATGATTATAATAGTCATGCACTATTTAACTTGGGAAAATCCTAGTCACTAAAATCTAAATCATAAAACAGCGTATGAGTTTAGAAGAAAAAATATATGCGAGTGTGTGTGTGTGTGTGTGTGTGTGTGTCTTTAAGGAATAAATTTGTATAGATCTTCTCCTCCTGCCAAGTTATCCTACTACAGAATAATTTGTCAACGTTTCATGCAATTTGATTCAAGAATTACAGAATGAAGATCACATTTTCAAATATGTTTAATTATTTAAAAAGCATCTAGAATTAGAATTTCCTATTAATGTGTTACAAAAATTAATATTTATCCTTTTCATCCATAAGTGGCCCCTCTCTTTGTCTTTAGGATGTATTCAAAATGATATAGGTTTCACTTCTTTTGCACTATAACAATAAACCTTCTGACTTTTCCATTAGCAGCATTCGACCTCTCAAGAGTAAGCTTTTTGATCCCCCAGAGAATTGGTATAGGACAAACATGAATTATGTGTCATGTCTTTGTATTTTTAGTATCATTATTCATGCATTTTTTTCTTACTCAATAATAAATCTTTACATAAAATATTTTAATTTTCAGTCTTTATTTTTAATATAAAAATATTTAAATATTCACTCTTAACTCTTGTCCTGTAGAACCTTATATTATAAATAGAGATCCAAGGGTCATGTAATGTAGCAAAAAATTATGGGAACAAAAATGATGCTCAGCATATTTCTTTCCATTATGAGCTTCCATGTGTGATTCTTCCCTATTCTTCCCTTTATTTCTCTCTTCTTTCTTCTTCATCCTCCTTCAACTTCATCAATGCTCCCGCAAAACTTCCATTGTGTGTCACTACATCAAATTTGGCCAGAGTGGCCATCACAACCATTTCTTATCATTCAGTTCATAGTTTCTAATAGAGGTCTGAATGGAGTTTTCTTCAGAACAGGGTAACAGAATCAAAACAAGTTGAAGCAAAGAAAAATAATTAGCAAGGAAAAGAAAATAAAAGGACAATTTTGTTATTTCTTCCAATAAATTTTTGGTTGCTTGTGTTAGCTGATACTTTTATTCAGAATTAGGGCATTAAGAATATTTTGTATAATTAGAATGGGACAAAAACACTCCTTTTTCCAATATATAACAAGAAGTTGTGACATCTCTACTGATTGCAACATAAAATAAGGACTGAAACCATATCATATGACCATAGGGAACAAAAATAATAAAAAAAACAGAAATGTTTGATTTCCAAAGCCTGTAAATAGCAAAAGCTAGCAGCATAGCAGCATAGCAGCAGAACATTTAATATTCATCAAAGTAACTCTGCTTTCAAAACTCACCCATTCAAGATCAGCAGAATATTAGAATTTTTAAGTATTTCTAAAACATAAATTATCTAATTGAGGACAGCACAGCTAAGCGAATGGCAATGAAAAAGACTAAAACACAACCATTGTTGAATCTAAATTAGTCCATTGGTAACACAAGAATCTTACAAACAACAAAATTAGAAAATAAGAGAAAAGGAGCTTAGAGTGAGAATCTCTAAGATTTTACTAGATTACCAGAAGTACATGACATGAGCAATTGATTGAATGTGCTTGCATTATCCTCTAATCCCTATTTGTAGCTTAGGACCAACATTCAACACTATTGGAAGAGATAAAACTAAGCAATACAATTAATATTACATACCAAGACTTAATAAGTACTTGTTATAAAATAAATGAGGCTTGTAGTCAAAAATACACAAGACGTACATATTAGCTGCTTGATTAAGGATAAATCCATGTGAAGTGACCTGCCAACTTCAATGTGGTTTGCCAAGTGCAGGCAAGTAGCTTGGATACTTAAGCAAATTCACTTTGACAAATTAAACGAATAACTTCGGCTTGCAGGCAAGTAGCTTGGATACTTAAGAAAATTCACTTTGACAAATTAAACGAATAACTTCGGCGACTCTGTCTAGTCAGCCCTTAGATCCTTCTACTTGAATTGAAAACTTTGGTGGACTGGAAATCAGTGGTGTATTTGCTATATTCATGATGACTTCACCAAGTTGATCTATGACTCGACTGAGTAGTCTTGAAAGCAAGGACCAAATTTCCTTGAACCTAATGCATATGATTTTTACGTGTAGATTCAGCCACCTGATTCTCTTGTCTCTTTGGAGATAATCATAAATAAAATAAAATATAAAAGAGAAAAATATATTCTACGATGATATGTTAGTACTTTGACTGGAACCAATTATGTAGATCTGACATCTTTTTCATATTCTTAAACATCTAAGGATGTCTATAAATGCTTCATAACTTTCTTTCCTAATACATGGTTTTGAACTTATTTCATATTATGAAGATATAGATCAAGTTAAGAAGTTCTCTAACAGGTAATTTGTAATGATATGATAGATTGCACAAGCAAGTAAGCATTATGAGAATAGAATGAAAAGATTATTTAGCTGGAAAGACTTATTTGTCTGATAAAAAATATAATCAACATCTTGTCCTTTTTCCAACAGGTTGATCTTTCTAACTCGGGAGACTAGCCTTAAGTTTATACTAACTTGCCTTGAATTCGGTTCAGTTGATATTTAGATTCCCAATCACACTCTGAAATCTAATCCATATCCCAGTATTGCTGTATTGATGCTGGCACTAATAACAGCAATGGTAAAAAAGTCTCCCAAACTAGTTATAGAAACCACCACAGAACAAACTGCAAAGTACAAACTGCAGAAAATGCTGATCCTTCAAACTATAATCAAATAAGGTTCAGAAAACTCAAGGAGGGGGATATAAAAAACCAGACCTTCCAAGCAAGGAGAAGCAGAAAAGTCTCCAGGCCCCAAGCCCCTCTATCAACGTAATCTCCATTAAACACAAAAGTGCGCTCCTCGGAGGGAAATCCCGCATCACGCAGAAGAAACAAAACATCATGAAGTTGGCCATGAACATCGCCCACAACCACCACCCTACCGCCGCCGCGGGCTTCATCTCCGGCGGGAGGATCGATATGAACGCAGTTGGGTTCCTGATGAAGGATGTTCGATGCAGCAAGAACCAGGTGGTGGAGAACATCAAAGGGAAAAACAGATGGCAGGTCGGAAGGGAGAAGATTCCTAGAAGACCACTCGAAGGCGGCGGTGAGGTCGTCTATCCACTCGCGCGTAAGGGATCCGTCCGGGGGCCAGGAGATGGGTATGTTGGGGGATGAACTCACAGAGTCGGCGGCTGGGGGAGAGTTTTCCGGTGACATGGAGTAAGCCAGGCGATGGATGTGAATCGGAAAAAGGTGGACGAAGTGAATCAGACAGAATGGCTGAAATTATAAAAAAATGATTTTTGTGTGTTATTTGTAAACATGTCCCAAAATTCATTGTGAACTTAAATATTCCGCTTATGATTTTTTACTGTCAGCACGAATCTAAAAAAAATCAATAAATTAAGGATGCATCTGGCGCTTTGTTCCTTCCACTTCTAGTCCCTAAAACGGGGTTGTGGTATTTGGGAACATTATTCTTGTCATCGTTTCGCAGACGTTCAGCTGCAAATCGACGAAAGCCTAAACGGAGGCGGGTGTGTGTTCTGCCGCTTAAGCTTCTTTCTAAGTGGTAAATGATGTTCCTGCCCCTCTTCAATTCATGAAATTCCTGACATATTTCCCCGGAAACACACCTCGCCCCCTCCCCTCGTTTGTCACCTGTGTTTAGGGCAGAAACTCAGTTGTGCACTCCCCTCCCTCCATTATCGGTGTCGTTGACTCTAGCTGTCAATCTCTGTGTGCTTCTCTCGATCTTCATTGCTCTGCATTGGGGTGGATTTAAAGCTTTTCATTTATGGCTTTCTTCATTTTCGATTTTCCTCTTCTTCATTGTCTCATTCGGCTTCTATGTTAGGGTGGTTTGAAGTTGCAGTGCTCAATCATAAAAATTTATGGAATGAGAGAAATATGAGCACTACTTTTTTGTTATATATATATATATATATAATGCTACAATGGTGGTGGCTGACTTCTCTGGTGCTCTTCTATATATATTTTGGGGGAATTTTTATTGGACTTCTTTAATATATTCGTGTTCTGATGTTAGAATTTAAATTTGCTTGTTGTTAGTCTCTTCTTCTGTTTAGAGAAACATTTTGAGGGGAGAAATTTTAGCATTTTTTTTTTTTTTTTTTTTTTTTTTTGAAAGATTTATACCATTGGAAAAGGCTATGTTCTTATGCAAACTAGAAAATTATAAGACATATAAGTTAGCGGATTCTATTTCCATCCTACTCAATTAGGAGAAGTTAGGGAAGTAGAGATATATGTGCACTATTTTTTTTGTCTTTTTTCGAATCTATGTTGAACTTGTTTTATATATTTTTGTTCTAATGTTAAAAGGTCAATTTGTTTTGCCCTTGCCTCTGGGGAGAGAAATTTTAGCACATATTTTTTTTTATTATTTGAAAGATGTATACGAGTGGAGAAGCCTATGTTCTGATGCAAACTATACGGGTATACGTCAGATAAGTTAGCAACTTCTATTTCTCTTATGCTCAATCAGGAGAGGAAAGGGATGGAGAGATATATGTGCACTATTTTTCTGTCTTTTTTAGAATTTATGTTGGACTTGTTTTATATATTCATGCTCTTATATTAGAAAGTCAATTTATTTGCTCTTGCCTCTTATTCAGTTCAGAGAAACATTTTGAGGGGAGAAATTTTAGCAGCGGTTTTTTTTTTTTATTTGAAAGATTTATACCATTAGAAGGGAGTGTTCATGATAGCAAAATTTTTAAATTTGCAACATGATGGCGTGAATGTAAATTTTCAATGCCTCCTCAAGGTTAGTACATTTTAGATATCATTAGAATATTTCCATTTTAGAGAATCCACTAACAATATCACTATTCATGAAAATATTACCTAGTTGATTCGGGATATCCATTGCAACAGGGCTTTTTGAAGCCATTCTCGACACGAGATATCACCTTCCTAATTTTAAGCATAGCAGCCAAGTGATTAGAGGGCGTAATGAACTCTTCAACAAAAGACACTCGTCACTATGGAGTGTCATCAAGAGAGCATTTAGTGTATGGAAGAAGAAGTGGGTCATACTCCTGGATATGCCTATGTATTCTTTCAAAAAACAAGTGAAGAGAGTTGTTGCAACAATAACACTCATAGTTTTATATGGAGACATCCATCTTGAGATGATATCAATTTAAGGATCTTATATGAAGATCCTACCTATATGTTAAGGAAGCTAATCAACAACAGGCCGAACATTCAGTGCCTCATGGAGACTTTAGTACAACTGAGTACATCACTTATATGGGAGAAGGCATCAAGAAGAAAATACACTTAAGAGAAGAGAATATCGATGCTTTGGTGAACGCATTAATTATATTTATGTAGCATCACCTACTTATTTATTGTTGATGATTTATATTCAATTATACATTGAATCCGTGGATGTATATTTTCTAAATCTTTATAGAAATTTGTATTGTAGCTTTTTTTATGTGTTCCTACTACATTTTATTTTTAATTTTAAAACTAGTTAATTTTTTTTATGTTTTTGTCTCATATATACTTATTTTCTGTTAATTAAAGCTATATTATATTATAATAACAGGAAAAATGAGTTCAAGAGCATCAGGTACTTTGAGAGTTCCATTCTACCATTATGGCAATGGGTATGTTCAGTACCAATCAAGAAGGGAAGGTAGTACGAGAAAATATTTAACTCTTGTCCCATAAACAAGACTCGTGAAGATTACGAGTTTTTTTGTTGGGTTGATGACACTAATGAGTTCACTCCAGACCATTATCAAGTGAGGAGAGATGCTACCATGGAGAGGAGATTGTCTGATAGACTTGATCGTCAGGACATGAAATCAAACATCATTCTAAGTTTGTTGGTTGTTATAGTTGTCCTTATTATTGTAGTTATATGCTTTAAAGAATCGTCCATTTTTTTATGTACTACTGGATTTTGTACTGTACTGCTATTTTTTTGGTAGTAGGATCTGTTTATGTCATTCTATTTAAATTATCCTGAAATCTGCAATTATTTAAATATTTTACATGTATAAGGGTAAAACATAATTTCTCAACAGAAATAGTAACAGTGCACCAAATCTCCCAAATAGATTTTTGTTTCTCCACCAACAGCTTTCTCACAGTTCTTGAGAAGTTGCTTATTCAGAAAGTAACATTACAGTTGTTTCTTGGAAAAGCAACAACCACCCCAAACACACCTTTAGGGATGTGGTAAGATAGGACACATTGGGAAAGCAACTCACACGGGACCCAAAAACCAGGTGGTTCAAGCAGCCGAAGGACCCTTGAGACATAAGCAATTCGGCAGAAGAAGCTGAGCGACTGAAAAAGCTAATGACCTCTTAAGGCCTGAGTTAATCGATAATAATAGCTCCCATCAGGATCAACAATTCCTGTATGCCTTCGTACGATCAACCAACTGGCTTCAGTTGCGTTGTCAGCAGATCGATAGAACCCACTCAAACAAGTCGACCAACATGGCCAACCACCTCATCCCAGTTGCCCAACTTACTGAGTCGAGGAACTAAAAGGTCTTTATGTCCTACCATAGCGAGAGACTCATAACATCATGAACAAATCCCTCCTAAACTAAAGGTGCCCATGTAATTTCATTCTTTGTCTAAAATAAGAGACCATTTATAAATGAATGGTTATACAGCCTTAGTCAAAAAGGTTGGAAAGGGTCAATGCACATGATTTAATTTAATGTTCACTATTGTTCATTAGTGCGTTTCTTATCTCCCCTTCTTTTTTTTTTTTCTCTCTCTCTCTCTATGCTTTTATTCATTGGGTGTGACTTACAGGATAAATATAGATTCAACATCCTGAAAGGTGCAATAAGTGTGAAGTCATGACACTAAGAAGAGAACTATGCAGAGAAGAAACTCAAACGAGAGACATAGGAAATATGGAGTTAAAATTATCTATTTTTATGCACATTTTATGCTCAATTTTTTAAGATATTATGTTTTAATGAAATGTATTTTTATTTTTTTGGTTCCAGGTGCAAGAAAAAGAGTTTAAGAGTAAAAAAGAGCAAAATTACATAAAAAATGAGGCGCCAAATGCAGAACTTGGCTGACACCTAAGCGCCACAATTATTTTATAGAAGATTCATTGAATGAGGGTGAATATTGAAGAGATTTCTAAAGTAACCTTTGGTCATTTTTAAAGCTCTATAAATAGTGATTAAATCCAAGAGGCTAGGGGGTTAGATATATAGAGTTGCATATTGTGCGAGTGTGTTAAGAGTGCTGGAAGTTTTCTTTGTGAGGCTTTTTTTATTTCTGAAGTTTGTGAGTTCTATAAGTGTCGTTGGAGTCGGAGAAGTAAGAGAACTTCAAAGGAGTGTTTGGGGAAACATTCCAGATAAGTATTTTTATATTTGTCTTTAAGTTTTTTACTTTGGGTTTGAGTTTATAAATATATTTTATTTTGTTATCCCTATGCATTTTGAGTTGTTTTCTCTCTTTCTCTTTGTAATATGAAGTAAAAAATTGAGTGATTTTGTTATAATTTGGAATTTCTTTTATTATTAAAAATTATGATGATATTTTAACCCGTTCTTCATTTACTTTACAAATTGACCACTTGTATTGTTAAAATTTGTTGAGGAAACTTATAGACCCGAAAGGGCTAAGATTTCTTAACTTGTAAGTATCACATTTCACCTTGGAAAGACTAGTGGCGATCGTTTGAAGGGGAGTGCAAATAGATAGGTAGATAAGATTTGATGGGCGTAGAATTGATGTTTCTATGGTGAAAGGCTAGATTCTTTTATCAATTTGGTCTTGAGATTGTAACCAAGGGTCACTGGTAGGTTCTATAGAGAGGGCACAGTGGGTAATCTAGAAGTGAGAGACTAGAACCTACAAAGCACTACTATACATGCCAACACTAACTTTAGATTAGTCAATGTATTTTACACAATCAAAAAAAGAAAAGAATATATATGCTCATATTTTTCACAATACCACATTTAAACTTCTAAACTTGAATTCCCACACTGATTATGAATTAGTTGCAATGAGAAGTCTCTTTTTAAATATTTTCTAAAATCATTACATTTAGTTTTACTTACATTTTGTAGAAATTAGTAAACTTAATTTTCATCATTATTTTTTAGATATTTGATGTAGTTTTAAGTAAAGTTCTCTGAAAGTTAAAATTCTTGAATTTCATTTCTTTTCGTTTACATGTCCCTGTGGAATCAATACTGAGTTTTTAAAGAAAATTCTATTTTACTTGAAACGATACGTATACTTGCGTAGTACCCCTAGTAAGAAAACTA